CCCGATTCGCTAATTTCGCATATGTCGAGTATTATTGCCTTAGCTTTATTTTTTCGCGTCTCGTCTTTGACTCCGCCACAGCAGACAGCTGTGGCGGCCTTGCTTGCGCAATCTCTTGGGTAGGTACGAACACTTCTCGATGTTCGACGAGTGATCATGCGGCGTGAAGGCTCTTCCCTGGTCGCTGTTCGGCCAGTAATCCGCCCTTAGCTCCTATGAGGGGCGGGGTGTTGGGAGAGAAATGGTCACACAGGTTTGCCTGTGTAGGCTCTCTCCTAGTGCCGATTCAGACGGGTAAGGCGGCCTAAGTTAGTTTTAGGTCGCAGGGCGAGAAATGGCATCCCACTGTGTGGGAGGATCCAACTTTGGATCGTCACTCCTCATGTGATCGCGCCGGACATCGAGATTTGTAAGGCTCCGGTCTTGTGCAAGCATTGTACGCGTCGCGTCACCCACGACTCAGTGCCTTCTGCACTGACTCGCAGTTGTTTCTCACTTTGAAAGAATCACTGCCTTCTGCACTGATTCATTTTGATCCCCGTGGATCAGAGACTTCTTCTTTGATCCACTTTAGTCCTCAATAGTACTTGACATATGCGAACGTGTGAGTGAGCGTGGGTGTGTGCTAGCTAGCTGGCGAGCGTGTGTTTTAGTTTATAAGTCGCCGTTGTAAGAAAGGGAGCCATAGCGAATTCCGTCTTCGTTCTGACTCCCTTTCGGGTCTCTAAAGCAGCAACCTCCTCGCGGTGAGACCCGGGCAATCGGTATCATCCTCGGCTCAGAAAATGTTGCGAATAGCAATGAATTTCTGGGTCGAGGATGATACCGAGCTAATAGCTGCAAATTTTAAATTCTTTTTAATATTAATATTCTGTAATCATAGATGATGTTATTGTGCTACAATCATTGATAATTAATTTATAGGAATTTAATTGTTTTCCTTGTACATACTTCTTCTATATTAGTTCAAGACATCGTTGCTGCATTGTTGCAAAAGTAAAGCGACGATGGGAAATCCCATTTGTGAGGTCTCCTCTCCGCCACTTGCAGCAAATTCCGAGTAGAATCCCTGACATTATTGGACACACTAAACAACAATGGACACACTGATCTTGAGAGTGGAAATTCAAAAAACAGTCTGGAGCCTGAGAGCTCTGTGTTCACGATCTATTGGGAATCTGTACTATAACGCAAGCTTGCGTCTACCTCCGATTCCATGTTGATAGTCCTTCTACTTAGGCGCCACCTTGTAAACCCCAGTGTAACTAAACTTGTCAAATTTGTTTGCTCTTTATTATTGATATCATGAATTTTTATGTCAAAACGGTATATGGGTTTACGAGGTGACATTTAAACACCTTAAATCAGCAACTTTTTCATTATTTATTGGTATATTTCTTATTGGTATTTTTCATTATTAATTGGTATATTTCTTATTGGTATCATTCGAAAGGAGAAGGTTCGATGCAGTACGCGAATGTCAAACTTTCATCGACAAGATTTATCCTGTGGCATAAAACTGCTTGGATTCCATGGCTTCGGCATCATCGATTTTTGCCTTAATTTCTAAGAGATATCTGCATCACGTTCTGGTTCTAGAATCCAGAAATTGAATTACCGCTTCTAAATCGTCATATGGAGATTTTAGTTCGTAGATGTACGTAATGGACAATAGGTGGCAGTTAAAACAGTGCCCCGAAAATCACCTATAGAGTTGCAGCCCTCTGGTTTACGACTCCAATGACTCTATCACGAAATTCGGTGCTGTTTGCGGTGTTGCACGCATTGAACTGTAGAAATTCGTAATGATTTCACGATATCTACGTCAACAATCAACGCCGCGATTTGTTTCTCACTAAAAATTGGCTACCACGGAGGTAATACAACGTTCGATCTAGTTTCGGAAGAGATATTTCGTGTCTAAACAGTGTGTGAAGTTGAATTTATTAACCTTGTGTCGGACGCTTCTCGGACTTGGCGACACGTTAAGCGTTGATCGTACAGAGATAGAGACGTGGTTCCGTAGGGCCAATCCAAAAGATAATAATGAGTCCGCTGAATCGGGGACCTCTGCTAGGACCTAGAGTGCCTCCAGCTGGCATACGACCTCCTCCGCCTCCCAGGTTTGGCGGTAGGCTTCCACCTCCCGGTTTACCTCCAAGAATGCCACCGCCACCCATGAGTCCGGTTTTCGGTCCCATGAGACAGAGACTACCGCCTCCACCGAGACCAGGTGGTGTAAGCAGACCTAGCGGACCTATGCCATTGTTTGGTCCTCGAGTGAGAGGTATGGCTCCAATGGTTCCCCCGATGGGTCTACGAGCTGCTGGGCCCAGAGGTCCACCGATGAGGCCCTGGTCGAGAAGAGGATTGCCACCCCAAATTTTACCACATATGAGACCACGCTTCTCCATAGGAAATGGGAATGCTAAAGGCAAAGCATTGAATAATATGAAAAAAGTAAGCAAGTTAGAAGTAAGTATGATTTTTTGAAATTTTATATTGTATTTATGGCATTTAAGTTGTAGTTTCAGTGTATTTATTTTACTTGTATCGGTTAGTAATATTAGCGAATGGAATTTCGAATATTATGAACGAATCACATTTTAGTGATAATGAAAATATGAATTCATTATTTGTCTATTGAAATTGATATTTAATGAAAAATATTTTAAAATCTAATTTATCGAAGCGATTGGAATTTAAAATTGTTTAAGTGTATATATTTTGATGAGAAGATATTATTTAGGAATTAGAGCTGAAGAAGCCATGGATGACCGATGAGATTCGTAGTGAAATACAAAAGAAAAATAAACTGTATGCAAAATCAAAAAAGAATAAAGATGCAAAAGAATGGGAAGAATTCAAGGATTTAAGGAACAAGGTCACAAGGATGATCAGAGAAGCTAAAAATGATTATCTCGCGAAACATCCTGAACAGGTACCGTTTTCATTAAATTTCCAAAGAAAAAGCATACGTTAATGCTTTCTTCTCTTGAACTAACAGTTCCATGAATAAACTGTGTTCTTTTTTCACACTAATAAGAAAGAATATGATTTCTGGTATACTTTGGAAAAGATATTAATTGAAAAGTATGTCTAACAAAAGTTAGCGAATGTTCATAAAAATAATTTATGATCATACTTTGACATACTACAATTAAAAAATAATACATCTGCAGTCTTATATTTGCATAAAAGAATGATTAATATACACAGCAAGGAGCAATAGTGTTTGTAAATGCAAAATGTAAATCAAACAATCTTTTGTTGTAGTTGCTAAGTGTTTAGTTTTATAATAATTACTTCAGTTTTGGTTTCTCATGTAAGTTATTCTTGCCACAGTTGATGGATTAGAGAAATTTTGGATTAATCAAAATTTGGAAACAAAAT